TGCTGCTGCTGCTGCTGCTGCTGCTGCTCCACCTTCGTCGCAGCCTCACCCCCACGCTGCACGCTTCCCCTCTCGCGCTTCACAACACGCAGCGCCAATGCTTCTCTGCCACCTGTCCGCACAAAGGGCCATCCTTCTCCCCTCTTGCTCTCTCCGCAATACCTGAGCAACAGATTCTTACCCCCTTCGGCCAGATAACTCCATTCCCTCGCATCCAAATCTTGCGCATGTATGCTTCCAGGTGCAGGTGGCCACACTTGCGATTCGCAGTCGGACCGAAGACGCGCGCTGGCTCGCGCACCTGACATGGCGGTGGACACGCTGGATTTGAAGGGCGTCTGATGAGATGGGGCGAATGGTGTGGGCGGCATCTTGTGCTGGGCTGGGTTGGGGTGGTTGTAACTTGACAAAGCTGGGAAGCGAAATGCAACGCCTTTCTGAGCCAATCAGCACGTCTGAGTGGGTGTTAGTGAGAGCCACAGTATGGGTGTGGGCGTGAGTGTGGGTGTGGGTGTGAGTGCGAGTGCGAGCGGGGCAAGTCAGCATGAGTCTTGAGTCAAGAATGCAAGAACTTCAACTTTCATTAACAAACTCGCGACTCTTGAATGCAAGTCACGAGTCCAGCAGCAGAAGCTGTCGTGCACGCAGTTTGAATCAAATCGTGAATCACAATTGCGGCAAAATTCAAGGCGCGCGCGTACTTGTAGATGCCGACACGCCTGCACACGTGACCGGAACAGTGTGGGACGTGCGCACATACACGATAGGTCACCAGCAGCAGCAGCAGCTGAGTAGCACCGCCAGAGGCGCGCGCAGCACGGCACGGCATGCAGCAACCACCTCTCGTACCCAGCACCCAGCGCTACAGCTGCTCACACCCATCACCACCATCAAAGCCCATCAGTGAATAGCCTGCTTTGCATTCTCGGTACAGCGTTCACATTCTTGAGCATCTTGGCACTCGGCACTCGGCACTCGGCACTCGGCACTCGGCACTCAAGGCACCTCCCACTAGAGTCTCGCTCGACCTTCTCCTCGACAGACTTCCGAGCAGAACTTCCCCATCTGCCGCAACCCGCGCCCCTGTGGAGAGACAAGAGAGAGGGAGAGAGACACACACAGAGACAGAGAGAGCCATGTCGGACTTTAGAAAGATCAACGTGGACATCTATGACGATGAGGCTCTGAATGATGAGGATCTGTACGATGCCGATATCAGAACTGCTGCGGACGTGCTGAGCTTGGCCAGATCCAAAGCTGGAGAAGTGAGGGGATTGATTGGGAGGTGAGTGGATCAAGAGGCAGGAGTTGTGGCGCTGGGGAATGGAGCGCGCATGGATGTTGAGAGGTCTTTGCGGCTCGCTTGAGAAAGTGAGGCTGTCTGCTGCTGGCACAAGCGTACACCCTCCCACCCGAATGGAACTTGGCATCTCGGTCAGCATATATGCCACGATTTCGCTTTCCGCCCTGCGCCTCGACGCACAGAGGAGCCAGCTTGCAAGCCCGCAGCGTCGTAGCGCGCTAGCTCAAGTTTGTCGCTCTCGCTCTTGACCTGCGCTTACACCTGGCCCAGATCATAACACCGCCGCTCATCCTCGCTGACTCCTGGCTGCTCTTTCTTTCCTTGGGCTTGATTGCAGAGGTGATGCTGCGGGAGCTCTGGCCGTAGTGTTGGCTGAGCCTCCATATAGTCCAGATGCCGAAGAAGCCAAGGTGAGCTCGTCGTCTCATTCGATCTTTCGGGCGCGCTCTCCTGCTGCGCCCAAGTGCGCGATACCGTTCTGAACGATGCGCTTTCTATCGCTACTTTCACGCACCTGCGCGCACGCGCAACAGTCCTTGACACTAGCGACGATCCTGGAAGTTTTCAACTCTACAAAATCTTCGGACATCGCTTCGGTGGTCAAGGCTCTGAATGTGGATCAACAAGACTCGTTGATGAAGTTCATCTACAAGGGATTGGGCAAACCTGAACTGGGAGCTTCTGCTGTGCTTCTCAACTGGCACGACAAGGTGCGTTTTGGTCTGGGGCGCCCCACACATTGCAGAGGATCGGGCAGCGCAGCGCGCACCCAGCATGTCTACGCTATTGGCTGATTGCGCTCTTCACGAATCTCTTTTCTTTCCCCTTGCCTTTGGACGCTCGCACCTGCATGACTCGCAGCTCACAGAGGTTGCTGGAACGGGGTCGATCGTGCGGGTGATGACGGATCACAGACGAGTGTGAGGAGGATTTCACAGCGCACGATCGCGGTTCATTTGGCGCGTTTTCGCTGCGTAGACCCTTTTCGCTTGGTGACCATTGCGTACTGCTAGCTCGCAATGCCATGCTCGTTGAATCTCGATCCAGTCAGCGCACCGTCAGATTGCAAAAGTATTACAAAGCAGCGAAGAGGCGTCGACGCAACATGGCCAAATCCGTCGTCGTGGGGGAGGCAAGGATGGAGCTCGAAGAATTGCTGATGGCTTGCGTTCCAGCCTGCGCCTCAGCTTTGATCGTTGGCTCTCGTGCCGCGAAGGAGCACCTTCAAGGTGCCCGCTCGCTCAATCCTTGACCAGATCGGGGAAAGCGTGGTCATTGATAGGCGTCTTGTCCAAGCTGATCCGGTCTCTCGTCCAAGCTGCCTACGCTCACGCCCACACTTCTGCTCCCGCGTTGATACGGAAAGAGGGTAGAGAGTCGTAGCGACGCACTGCCTCTCCAGATGGTGAGTACTCGACAGTCTTGGAGAGGTGCACACAAGCGCATCAACACGGCCTGCTCGATGACACGGTCGACCGATCGATATGCGATCCAGAGATTCTTATCCTGCTCGCTCTGCCCACATTTTGCAACGCACGCAATTGCCCACAGCACAGGCTTTCACGCACCTGTGCACGCGCGAGGCGCGGTCTACGTAGCCACCTCGAGATGGGGGGCGGAGCTGGTGCAAGCTTGGACCAAATCGGCCCGACTTCGCATCCGCTCCACCAATCGCACGAATTGGCCAATCGCACTCACGGCACCATGACGGGAGAGGGAAAATGTAGCCTGGGTGGACGAAGAGGTACTCGACATGCTCTCATGATTCGCCTCGTAAATAC